TCACTATGTTGGCCAGGCTAGTCTCAAACTCTTGACCTCAGGTGATCTGCTCACTTTGACATCCCAAAGTGCTGGGGTTACAGGCGTGAGACACCACACCCGGCCATCCCTGTCAGTTTTCTAATAGTAAAAAATAACCATCAACAAAGGAATTATTTTTAAATTCATATTCTTATTAGTCAAATTATTTTTTAATTCATATTCTTATTAGTCATTATTCTGGGGATATAGTCAAAATTCATATATCCCCAGAATAATGATAATTTTGGAGTATTCTTATGGTAGCACCTTACTAAACAATATAGAATTATTTTCCTCAATACCTATAAATAATTGTCAGTAAATAAAAGCAAAACAAGATGGCCTCATCACTAGAATGAATAAATAGAGAACATTTCTTTAAAATACAATTAAAATGTTATAAAAGGGCAGTGATTTGTTTCTTAAATTCTCTTACATGCCATTTTACACAATTGTAGTGTGTTTCTTTTTTAATATTCTTTTGATATTACAACAATAGGAACATACTGCAACCCTTCCCTTGACATGTTGGAGGAATGTTTACAGTTATCTTAATCTTGAGCTAGAGCATATTTTAATGCTTAAAGACATTATTTTATCTGCTTGAAAATAAAAAACCTGAATTGTAAAAATTAAGAAATAGACCTTAAACCTTTTCACTATCCTTTTTTCTTCCAGCACCTTTTCTTCATGTTTCAAGAAGGATGGCTTTACATAGTAACTTAGAAATAATACCTAATGATTCACAAAATGATGGATGTCATGAATCACCTTTTTCTTAAGAAATAATACATCAGCATATTCCTACCCATAGACTTTTACTGAAAAATATAAAATATTAGCATCATATATTTATCAAGGTGTCGGATACAAAAACTGTTGACAAAATGTCCTCAGAACCAACAGAAAACATTTAAATGTTATGTTCCTTTTTTGGAAACAAAGTCATTCAAATGTAATTCACACTTTCTAAAATGTAGTAGTTTTTGAGTTCTCATTTACTCTTTTATTTTTCTTTTTTCTTTTTTGAGATGGAGTCTCGCTCTGTCGCCCAGGCTGGAGAGCACTGGCAACATCTCGGCTCACCACCGCCTCCGTCTCCCGAGTTCAAGCAATTCTTCTGTCTCAGCTTCATAAGTAGCTGGGACCAGAGGTGCGTGCCACCATACCTGGCTAATTTTTGTATTTTTAGTCGAGACGGGATTTCACTATGTTGGCTAGACTGGTCTTGAACTCCTGACCTCGTGATCCGCTCGGCTTGGCCTCGCAAAGTGCTGGGATTACAGGCGTGAGTCACCGCACCCGACCCTCATTTACTCTTTTAATTATAAATGTAAGAATAATCTCTTTGAACACTAGCAATACTATATACCCCAAGGTTAACAGTAAAATCTCCCAAACTAAAATATTTTACTCACAAAAATTTTGGTTAAACTTTAAGATGATAAAAAATGAGGCCTGGCACGGTGGCTCACACCTGTAATCCCAGTACTTTGGGAGGCTGAGGTGGGAGGATCACCTGAGGTCAGGAGTTTGAGACCAGCCTAACCAACATGGAAAAACCCCATCTCTACTAAAAATACAAAATTTGCCAAGCGTGGTGGCACATGCCTGTAATCCCAGCTACTCTAGAGGCTGAGACAGGAGAATTGCTTGAACCCGGGAGGCGGAGGTTGCAGTGAGTGGAATTTGCTCCATTGCATTCCAGCCTGGGCAACAAGAGCGAAAGTCCATCTCAAAAATAAAATAAAATAATAAAAATAAATAAATTTTAAAAACTGAAATGCTTCCTAAGACCATGTTTGTCCTTTTTATACTTAAGTAATTATGTCTTCATTCCTATTTATGCAGCACTTCTTTTTTTTTTTTGAGACAGAGTTTTGGCTCTTGTTGTCCAAGCTGGAGTGCAGTAGTGAGATCTCAGTTCACCACAACCTCCGCCTCACAGGTTCAAGCAATGCTCCTGCCTCAGCCTCCCAAGTAGCTGGGATTACAGGCACCTGCCACCACATCTGACTAATTTTTGGTATTTAGTAGAGACGGGGTTTCACCATGTTAGTCAAGCTGGTCTCAAACTTCTGACCTCAGGTGATCCACTGGCCTCAGCCACCCAAAGTGCTGGGATTACAGGCCTGTGCCACCGCGCCTGGCCTTATGCAGCACTTTTAAAATGAAACCTTCTTGTGGTTTCGTTTTTAGGCAGACTATTTTGAATAGTGTTTGGGTTTTTTTTGGAAGCCTCTTTGAAGGATGAATTTGTGATTGCATTAAAAAGTTAGTCGGTTTCCAATTGCACAACCAGTTTGCTTTATTTTCATTTTTGGGTTGCTTTCCCTAGAGCAGCCATAGTGTACTGTGGGAAATGGAGCTTGGCAGTGTCCTTCCCTGGCTGTATTAACCCTTCAGCTGTGTGCAGTGCTGAGAAAACCTCGGGCCTTATTGATTACACGGTGTCTCTGGCAGCATTATTGACCCTTTGCTGCTGACTGCCTGTGACTCTTGAGTTTTAACACGGTCTCCATGACATTCGTAATAAAACATACTTTCCTATTGCTACTCAGCCCTGGGAGCCAACTGATTCAGCCTTAGAACACCACAATGTTTCTGGAAAACGTTTATTGCATATGGGGTAAAATGTTATAGCAATTTTAGAATTCTGTCCTGTGTGGTTTTAATAGCTACCTCTATAGCAAGATTCTACACACAGTTAAAGTTTTATTGTCTTTTAAAAAGCCTGTGCTAGCTTTGCATATATTGTCAACAAGAAATTTAACATGATTAATATAAAATCTTGTACTTTTAAAATATTGGGCTACTGAAGAGTATTTTGTGTTAACCTTAGACTTGACATGTTGCTATAATACGTATTTTCAAAATTAAATTGTAAAACATTTCCCAAGGATTATGCTGTGATTTGCTACTATGCTAGGTATTTGTTACAGTGAATGAGGAGGATTTGGGGGGATTAAAGTTTCTGATTGTATTTTATTAGTGTGTTTCTAATTTGCCATTGTCAAAATGTCTTTCAAGATACATTTTAACTTCTCTATATCAAGTTACATGAAATCAAGAAAGCCTTCCATTAGTTACTTTGAAAGGTTTAATTGAAGCTTTAATTAATGAAAAAAATGAGTTTGAGTATGTATCTTTTTGTTTTATATTGGAGGCTTCATATATTTTATTAATATTATCTTATTTTAATTTTTGTTATTTCTCATATACTTCCTAATCCACAATCAGCATTAATAGGGTACAATAATTTGTACCGTAAGTGTTGATGGAAATTACAGCACTTCAAAAGGAGCTCAGAGATCCTATGAAGCAGACTTTATCCTGTTGGTAGGCTGAAAAAAATGTATATGTTTCTTAAAGATAGTTTAAACATTTTAATGTATTTTAACTACTATAACTGTAGGAAAGGCCATATAGCTCAAAAAGGACATGTAATGCTTGTGTTGGACAGCTTTATAGAAAAAATAGGTCACAAGACAGCTTAATATGGTTGTTGCTTTTTAGTAAAGTTGTGTGGAGTGTTTTCATTAGAACAAAGGTTTCTTTAGCAAACCTTACTTTCAATAAATTCAGACTTTGAGGATTATAATAGAGCTAATTTCTGCTTATTAGTATATGTTCAACTTCATGAAAATGGCTACTATGCCACTGATAGCAATATGTTCAAATGATTAGTAGCTCACCTCTTTAAAATATTTAAAATTTGACAATTTATATCAGTGAATTTTGCAATTAAAAAAATAAAAAGAAAAGGATCTTGCTTTTAAACTGTCATGTTATCAAACTACCAACACTCTACAAAAGCATTTCGAAATGCTCATTCCCCTGTTCTGGTTTATAGATTTAGTTTTCATGTTTTATCAAACTTTAGTGGATAGATGTTATGTTTGAGGGATACATAGTTTTCTAAATGTATGCTTTTAAAAATATCAAACCATTATAAAATGAGAATTTTTTAATTAAATATTTTGCAAGGATGGCTTCAGAGTGTGGGGTGGTATATAGGGCAGCCTTAGTGGGCTGCCTCTGTTTGACAGCTCTGTATAGAACCCCAAGCAACAAAGTTGCTTCTAATTTGAATCTAGTTGTTTATCAACTCATTTACTTTCAATTTAAGTCCACTTGGTGTGAATAGAACCCGACAACAGAAAAAAACAAAGGAAAGGCATTCTGCTTCTCATCCTTCCAAATTAGTGTTGTTCTTTTAAATTAAAAAATTTAATCTCCTTTCATCATTTTTTATGCCAAACTCAAGATATTTTAAGACGCAGGATGACAGTAGATGCCACTAAACCTCTCTAAGTCTCAAGCAGAGGCCTTCTTAAAATCAAGGTGCATAGGCTTAGGCAGCAGTTCAGTAACCTTTGGGAAAACAAAGGTTACAAGACAACATTTCTACAATTTTTTTTTAAATTAGCTAGATGTAGTGGTACATGCCTTTATTCCTAGCTACTGGAGAGGCTGATGCGGGAGGATCACTTGAGCCCAGGAGGTCAAGGCTGTAGTGAGTCATGGTAGCACCACTGTATTTCAGCCTAGGCAACAGAGCAAGACCCTGTCTCAAAAAAATAAGTTGGGTATGGGTGTGTGACAAACAACTGTCTATAGGTAGATGAGAAATCAGCAAAAAAGACTCAAAAAGAGCAATAGGAGGAGAAAAGCAAGAAGATGGTGGTGTCCTAGGCACAGGTGAAGTTAGACTGTACCTTTCTCTGGAACTCGCTGGAAAGACTTCATGACTGTCAACACATGATTAGCTGGAATAACCAAATTGCACAATAGGAGAAAAAAATGCAAGTTGCTGGAATCATATTTACAGATATCCTCAAATATGTTACACATCCAGGCAATAGGCCCTTGTAGGTACTCCAAATAGATATCCTTCAATTTGTAAACCACAGAGATCTCTGAACCAAATCTTCTCTACTTAGAACTTTAGTTCTCGAGTGAAAGAACAGACAATTGAATACTTTGTAATGTTTTTAATATGACAATTTTTAAACAATTTATTTTTGACAAAAATTGGAAGGACAACCATCACCTCACAGCCCTGAGTAGAATAGGAAGGCTTGGAAAAGTACACAAAGAGGGCAGCAACATGAGGTCCAATCTTGTAGCAGCTTCTGAGGAAGATCTCAGTCCACGGGCAAGTTCAAGTCCACGGGTGAAATGGCCAGGATGCCCTTCTGGAAGGGAAAACTGTTAGAGCCCTGTGACGAGGAGAGGTGTCCCGCCCACACAGCAATGTCTGCATCAGTCCAGGGAGATCAGAGACGGGATGGTGAGGAACCAGAGAGCAGAGGGCAACAGGCACCCAGAGAAGCGGACAGAGACCCAGACAGAGGAGCACAGGAATGAGGGGGGACAGAGTCCTAGAAGGAGGAGGAAAGACAAAGACCGAGGAGGGTCAGGGCACAAGATGGGGGTTAGAGACCCAGAGAGAGTGAAGAGTGAGGGCAGAGTCAGAGAAAGGGATGTTATCAGTTCTATAACTGGATATTGAAGTAGGCCACCAGGGCGTGCACATAGTCATTCTGCTTCACCTGCAGGCAGAAGCGGGAGGTGAACGTCCGGTCTCCCACCTTGACAGTGTAGATGTCCACCTCCTGCAGGACAGGAGAGGGAAAGCTCCGGATGTATCTCCACCCCACTTCATTTCCTCCTCCCGACCCTCCCCAGCTCCTGGAGGGCCCATGACCTTGCTGTCCCCCTCCTGCGGTCCTCACTCATTGGTGCCTGGCCTTGGCTCCTCATTCATTTCTCATCCTGCCTGTCTGGCTCCCAACGAACCGCCCTAGATTCAAACCTGTATTCCTTGTTCCCTTCTTTCTCACACCCAAACCTGGGAGCTCCACCCTAACTCTGTCCAGTGCCCACTCCCGCCCCGCCCCCCACCTGGCCAAATCTCACTCAAATGCAGGGGCCCTGCTTTGTCCTCTTCCTGACCCCTTCTTGACAAGTCTGCCAATGTGATGACCTCAAATGTTGACCCAAACGCCGACCTAAAACCCTGCGCCAGCTTCCCACCTGCTTTCAGGAGGGTGGCTTGGGTGGGATGCCTGCCCTTCCAGCCTTCTCTCCTCTGCCACTCAACAACTTCCTCTCCCCCTCAACAACTTCCTCTGCCCCCCCATACCAAACCCTATCCCCCTAGCTCCAGCTCAATAAATACTCACTATCACCATACTTAAAAACAAAAACAAAAACGGGTCTCTGAAGGAAAAAAAGAGAAAAAACAAACAGTGTTGCCCAAGCTGTAGTGCAGTGGTGGGATCACAGCTCACTGGAGCCTTGAACTCCCAGGCTCAAGCGATCCTCCCACCTCAGCCTCCCAAGTAGCTTGGACCACAGGCACATCTCTGAGTCCAGCCTGTCCCCATGCTCTTTTGCAGTGGTCCGTCTTCGTGTGCACCGGCTCATCACCCTGGAGTCCTGCCTTCCAGTGCACATGCTGCAGGCCTTGAGCTGCCGGCTTAGGTGTGTCCTCCAGAGGATGTCCCCCTGGGGCAGGGCCAGCCTGCGTTGCTCACCACCGTTCCTGGAGCCTGGACGCCAAGCACAAAGCATAGCTGTCACAAGGCAGAGCTCACGAAGATATTTAAAGGACAAAGTGGCTTTTCTGTGCCTCTAGCACCACCTCTAGCTGACAGGTCAGGCTCCGAGACCTCAGGCCAACACTCTGCCTTCCAAAGTCCTGCACCAGGTCCCGGGGATGGTCTCTGGTTTCAACCCTCCCTGCCTGCCTCCCAAGGGCAGGAGATCTTGTATGGTTTTGACATGTCTTGCATCAAAGATGTGGCCATCAAGGACCTCCTAGTGGACGTGGTGGACCCTAAGTAGCATAAAAGTGAGAGAGTGGGCATGGCCAGTTGCCCTGGCCACTAACTAACCTTTTGCCCAAACAATGTGCTTTTATAAATTGACCTCACAAATATATCAGTTTGTGTATGAAATGACATTATGTGCAGGGGATGAAAATCAGAGCAGGCTGGGCACAGTGGCTCATGCGTTTAATCCCAGCACTTTGGAAGGCCAAGGTGAGAGGATGGCTGCTTGAGCCCAGAAGTTCAAGACCAGCCTGGGCCACATGGCAAAACCTTGCCTCTACGAAAAAAAAAAAAAAAAAAAAAGCCAGGTATGGTGGCGTATGCCTGTAGTCCCAGCTACTCGGGAGGCCGAGGTGGGAGGATGACCTGAGCAGAGGAGGTAGAGATTGAAGTGAGCCATCATTGCACCACTCACTGAACTCCAGCCTAGGCAACAGAGCCAGACCCTGTCTAAAAAAAAAGAAAAAAAAAGGAAAAGAAAGAAAATCTCAGAGTAGCTTAAACGCCCATCAACAGAAGACTGGTTTAAAAAGGTGGGGGACATACTATGATGGTGGTAGTGGAAAAGAGTGCAATGCCTCAACATCCTGGAAAGTGTCAAGCTACACAATACACAGATGAAAGAAGCCAAGGGAAGAGCCTGGTACGAAATGCTACTGGCATGAAATTTACTCATATATGTGCTTGTAGGTGTAGACTTTTCTGGAAGTTAGTGTTGGTCAAACTAGAGGAGGGCATCTGGGAATCAGAGGGGAGACTTCTCATTGTGGGCCCTCAGCCGCCAACCATGGGACTCTGTTACTCATTCAAGAAAGTAGAGAGTGGTTCTTGCCCTAACTTTAAGACTGAGGTGCTAAGCTTAGGGCTTTGACACTCAGATTCTCAGGCTGCTGGCAGCCCAAAAGACCATGGGAGAGGAGCCGCTGAATCTGTGGCCCATCTGTAGACCCCACAACTCTTCCTGGAGGCCCTGGGGAAGCAGGGCATTTCCCCACTCCACTCCCAAAAACCCATACTCTTTCTGAGCTCACCGTGGTCTGTTGGCTTTGACGATCGTCACTGCATAATCAGAGATACTGGAACACTCGATCTGAGGGCCCAGGAAGAAGGGAGGGTGAGACCCCCCCCAGTTCCATCCTCAGCCCCCATCCCCCTCCATCCAATCCCTGAGCCCCTCTCTGCACCCAGGCTCAGGCCCCCTTGGCCACCCTGGAGACTCACCCCGATGACCCTTCAGCCTCTGGCCTCGGCAGCGAACGTGCAGAGGATGCCCGTGCCTGAGCCCACATCCAGCACCACCTTGTCCTTGAAGAGGTGCCGGTTGTGAAACATGGAGTTGCTATGTGAGGGTGTGAACCTCGTCCTTCAGCATCTCGTGGGGGAAGAGCAGCACAAAGACGTCGTGAGGGGCCCTACATCCTCAGCTAGAGAATAGGGTGTCCTGACAGCTGGGACGGCCAGGGACAGCTCTAGGCCCTCTCACTTCCTTCCGTGCACCTCAGTTTCCCTATTTGTAAAAGCAGACTAGATGGACTAAACTCTCATCTAAGCCAGATGCTACCATTGCTACCTAAGAACCAGTGAACCCTGGCTTTTAAAAGTCCTCAGGTCGGGGGCAGTGGCTCACGCCTGTAATCCCAGCACTTCAGGAGGCCAAGGCGAGAGGATAGTTTAAGCCCAGGAGCTTAACACCAGCCTGGGCAACCAAGCAAGACTCTACCTCTACAAAAAATAAGAAAATTAGCCGGGCGTGGTGGTGCGCGCCTGTGATCCCAGCTATTCCGGAGGCTGAGGTGGGACGATCACCTGAGCCTGGGAGGTCAAGGCTGCAGTGGCTGGTGACTGCACCACTGCACTCCAGCCTGGGAGACAGAACGAGACCCTGTCTCTAAAAATAAAAAATGGTAATTTGTGTATATTTTGCCACAATTTTATGAAAGTGGTCTCAGGGGAAGAAGAAAATTCCTTAGTATGCCACCCCAGCTGCATTCTGGGATCTAAGTATTTTCGTCACAAGGGTCCAGAAGCTGTCAGGCCGGGAGAGGCCAGGGTGCAGTTGCACCACCGGTCTCTAGAGGGCGGCAGATACCAGCGGGCCCTGCCTGACCTCAGGCTAAGGCCCCAGGCACGCATGCGCGCTCCCACCCTAGCCTTCAGGGAGGGACCCCTGTGGAGCTTGTGACTAACCTCGGTCTCCTAGGCAAAGGCTTGGCGAGGCGACCCTGGTTGGTGCGCAGCAGAGGCGCACAGGGGCGGCCTGCTGCCGGGGGACACACTGCGCATGCGTGGGAAATTAGGTTCCGCCCCACCTCCCCAGTATTTAACCCCCTTAAGGTTCGCCGGCTTGTGGGGCTGTCCGCACTCACCTCGTGGATGCCGAAATGGGCATAGGAGTCTAAGTAGTAATCTTTGGACGTCCTGTCCTCAGCATTGGGCTGGGTGCTTTCCACCTGGCCACAGGAAACCTGGGAGGGGGCCGATGGGAGCATGGGTCAGATCTGGGGCCTCCCCACAGCCTCTTAAAACTCCAGGTCCCTACTTTTCCCTGAAGTGTAGTATAGAATGCCTCAAAATTGTACCATGACAACCCCACAGTCCCTACCTGCTATCTTGCCCCCACCAGGAACCCCAAAACCTAACAATTCAAATTTTCACTTCCAGGACCCCACCAGAGCACCATCCAGGGGAGCACCCCAATATCTCAGGCACGCCTACCATCTCTCCAGTGTCTCTGCCCCCGTCTTCAGCTTAGTCCACAGCTGGGGAGCGGAGGGGAAGGAAAACAGGAGCAGACACAGGGAAGGACAAAGTGGGGCTGGAGGTGGAGATAGAGAAGTAGCCGTGATACTGCGGGAGGCCAGCGGGGGCCGCGAACCTGGAGGGGTTGGTCCTAAGTGTCTGGGGGCCTGGGATAAACTGGTTTGAAGCAAGAGGTCTGGATAGACTCCGAGAAAGGGCCAGATGCATGACGAGATATGTTGATGTGGAGGTCGGGGTCGGGAGGGGTCTCACAAAAGGATGTTTACTTTTTCAAGAGGCGGTTGGAGGATCATCCCATTAGCCAAGGTGGCTACAAAATTCTAGGAGAGAGTAACAGGGAGAAAGGATTAGCTACTGGGAGTGGCTGTGGGAGGGCTGGGCTGCGGGGCCTGGGCTCTGTGGGGGGTGGGTTTCCAGCAATTCTTCTTTTCCTTGGTGGGAACTGGTGGCAAAGGGGGCAAGTAATGAGGTGCGATTTTTAAGAAAGGGATGGGAAAAGTGAGGGGAGAAGAAAGGAGGTCTCCTATCCCAGCTGTGGCTGGAGAGATGGTGGCCTGCCCCCCACATTGCCCCTCTCTGACCAGGCAGCAGACCACCCGCACCTCCCCATCCAGGAAGGGGGAATTGACACCCGCCACCGCCAGCTGTCGCTCCCCCTCATCACCTAATCTCCCCCAGATGAGGTGACACTTCTGGCACACACCTCTATCCTAGGAGCCCCATACAGAACTAGCTGTAACCAACCCCTTCCCTTATGACCGTCGGCCTAGCAAGTTAGAGTCCCAGGGAGGATGAACAGCTCCTCGACCCTCTAAGAATGAGAGGACTCCAGAAAGTGGTTTGGGGAGTCACCAAGTTGTCCCCATTCAGACACCCATCCCAGGCCCTGAAGACCACCAGGTGTGGCCAAGCCTGAGGCCACCTCTGGGGAAGATATTTCCTCTACCCATAGAGCTCCTGGTGTGCAGGAGACAGCCAAGGGGGCGGGAAGTCATTGTAGTGACCCCTGGGAGCTAACCCCCAATGGCTACATCCTGATAGCTGAGAGCTGAGCTGCCCCTCCAGCCAATGCCACAAGGCAAGGGATGGAAGGACAGAGTCCCCATCAGATTACGTCTCTTCCAGATGTGACCACTTTCCAAGACTTCAGGAAGGGCCACATCACAGGCCATGACCATCTAGGCTCCAAGCACCCTCCCCTCAATTCTCTCAAGCTAGCAGGGACACCTATAAGAAGGAAAGTGGTGAGGGGGTTTCCCCACTGGGACCCATTTCTCAATACCACTGATAACCACCAGACAACTCCAGCCCAAGAGGGCTTGAAACTCAAGACTGAAACCTCCCACACATGGATGCGTAAGAACCAAACATCACTCGAAACCATTTCAGGCACCCAGGCTCATGAGCCCCAGACTCAGGACCCCCACACAGTGCTTCAGAAAAGGAGAGGTCGTCATTCTGAGTTGTTGTTTTTTAAAAATCGTGAGAATACCATAGAAAATTTTATAGTATTTTCAGCATAAACTTTTGTTAATGTGTCTTCGTTGTGTGATGATAAAAATACTCTGTATATGTACTGTCCAGTATGATAACCACTAGCTGCACGTGTCTATTGAGACGGAGGTCTTGAGTTTTTTATTTTATTAATGTTAATAAATTTAAATTCAAATAGCTACATAAGGCTAGTGGCTAACATACTGGATGGCATATTTCAAAGAAATTTTTTGAAAGTTAATTTCTCTAAGCTTATCTTGCAAAATTCCTAAAAATAAATTATTTTATGGCTTAACAATGATATTTTCCAATTAATTAATTAGTGCATTGTATGGTCTTTTCCCCTTTTGGTATTCAAATAAGAACCAGAAAACTTTGTTTTATAATTTAAAATTATCTTGTGATTTAAAATTCTTCTTAGGACAACTTCTACTCTGTCTCTAATTAATATGCAATTTTTCAAAAAGTCTTGTCTAATTTGATGTATGTTGAAACTATTAATCTACTTATGAAATTAAAATAACTTTCTGGGCAAAGTAAAAGACGTTTTTAGGAAGAAATTTTATTAACCAAAAATTCCAGGACTTTTGGTGCCTATTTAA